TCACTTCTCACTACCCACAGGTGCTTGGCATTTGAGAGAAAAAGCAGCCTCCTATTGAGAGCCACAGGAAAAGCCAGGTCTTGCAGGGCAGAGTCAGGCTTCAGGCTTCAGGTCTGCTAGGAGGTAGAGGGAAGTAAGCCAGGTGATTGGCATATGGGGTCCAGAGGGCATTATGAGAAAGATTTAAAGAGGAGATTGGCCAAGGAAGAAAAAACCCACAGCAGAATGGACGAGGACAGGAGAAAAAAAGTCTATGGCCCATTTTAACAGTGGGTATACCTATTATACTTGGGAGATTGGGCTAGCTTTAAGTTTTCCAAGGACTTGCTGTTCCCAGGAGCTTTTATTTGTTCAGGACGACACATTCCTCCTTCTGGTAAATGCTCCTTCTAACCAGGTGTGTCATGTCAGAATCATAACTTTTCACAAACCCCATCTTCTTGATCACTGTGATTCAGACAGTGGGTGAGGAGCTGATGCAAGCTAGACCACTTGTAGCCCTTCCCTGGGAGTTTTGCCATTAGGAGCAGAGATGCCAGGTCTCATGCCCTTTTCAGTGGCAGAACTGAAGATGTGGCCTGAGAATTGCTACTGGCTATGTGTCCTGACTTAGGAAGAAAGCTAGTCGGGGAGAGTAAAGCTAACTGAGGGAGGCCTGCTGGCATTCCAGTCACTTTCAGTCATCTCTGAAGCCCTCTGCACCCTGGCCCTTCCCATGCTTTGGTTATGTGAACCGCTGAATCACCGTATTTGCCGAAGTTAGTGCAACCAGTATGTTGAACATGCAGGAGACATCAGGGGATAATCACAGCCACTTTCATTGGTGTCTCTCTGTCCCCATAAGACATTTTCAGTGTGGGAGGTCCAGAGAACTTTTTGGTACCTCTGAGGTAACAGAAATCCCATGGTCACATTGAATCACCAGTTCCAAAATTAGTGTCCTGCCTTATGGCAATGGTCATAGCTTTCTGTTCGTTCAGAGCTGCAGTGACTTCCCCTCCCTGCACAGGGCTTAGAACCAGCGGTGCCGACCCAGGGAGGGGATGTGCCCTGCTTGTCCTCCTTCCACTCGTCCCCCAGTTGCTGGCTGCGGTTTTGGACCTCTCTGGAGTTGGTGGGGGAAGGAGAGGGAATGAGCAGAGAAGACACGAGATAGTGTCAGCACTCCCTGAACTGGCAAGTGTGTAAAGCTGACCCTTGTGGGGTTCTCTTGTAGACATTTGGGAGACCCCTCCATCTGGGGACCTCTCCTCTGTAGGTCTCCTGATGTGGGCAATGCACTCACCAAAGCCTTGTCACTCACTCCTTCTGTAGCTCCTGGGACTCCCGGTGTCTGCTCTTGATTCTATCTGCTGAGGACCCTTCAGCCTGCTGGACACATCTTTAGGAAAGGACCTAAAACAACCCAAACTAGCTTATTCGTGCATCATTTTCTGCAACAAATTCTGGGCGTGCAGGCCAGTTGCCATGCAGCTCTATCCTTTGCAGCCAGTGCATCTTGTGTCCTTTATGTTTCTCAGGTAGAATTCAGACACCTGGCAGTCCACTGTATTCCCCATTCTTTAAGGATCATGTTAAGCTTTTCTCACCAGGCTTGAGTAAGAGCCAAGTACTACCCATTTTTCCCCTGCAGGAAGGTGGAGTTCATAACACTGCTGTCTCCAAAGAAATTCTTCAAGTCCTCTCTCCCTTAATGTCTCACAACCAGTTACTTTTATATTTGATGTTGGGAGAGCTTTTAGAATGATGTAACAAGTTTTCAGATATTTCCTTGGAAAATCTGCATCCTAGTCTAGCACCTCACTTCAGTGTCTGAAACTTATCATCCTAGAGGCTTGGCTGAAACTGTCTTAGCATCTTAGCATCCTGTTGGATTTATGACCACTGTAACCAAATAATCCTGATAAGAACAGTTAACAAATATTTATTAAGTATGCAGCCACAAAAGAAAAACGCCTCCAGCCCTCTGCCAGTGTAGGACAGAGTTTACAAACTGTTAGCCTGCTGCCTGAATCCCGTCCATGGACATACTTTGGGTGATCCTCATAATCTTTCATTTTTTCTTGAATCTATTGCCAGTATTTACAAATAAAGGAATTTTAACCTCTGGAATTTAAGATCTAGATTCCTGGCTTTAAAAAAACAGAAGATGTGGGGGCTTCCCTGGTGGCGCAGTGGTTGAGAGTCCGCCTGCCGATGCAGAGGACGCGGGTTCGTGCCCCGCTCCGGGAGGATCCCACATGCCGCGGAGCGGCTGGGCCCATGAGCCATGGCCGCTGGGCCTCCGCGTCCGGAGCCTGTGCTTCGCAACGGGAGAGGCCACAGCAGTGGGTGGCCCGCGTACCGCAAAAATAAAAACAGAAAATGTGGCGACGCTGGGCCTGCATTGCCGCCTAGCATAGTTAGCTGGAGGTGGTGGGGGCTGCCCCCTTTGACAGGAGGGACTCCATTCCCTCTTGGCTCTGTGACCTGAAGCCAATGTCAGTTGCCATTTATCATCATTGGGCTCATGCAGTTACCTTTTCTTAAATTAAGGACTAAAGTGAAATATTCCTGGTACTCCTGTTTCTTAACAAAAGAGGAAAAAAAAGATAGTCCAAAAGAGCCATGGAAGGGAGAGACATAATTTATTTAGAGATACAAAGTATTCTTATGTGTTTAATGTGCAGTTAGTGTGTTTGTGTACGTGTGTGTGTAAAAGACAACTTAAGATGCCATTGGAAAATAACCCATAAATATAATCATGGTTACTATACAAAAATATGTGGTGAGAAAAAGACATTTCAACAGGATTTGTTTTTAGTGCAACTAAAATAAGTTGTGTGATTTGCTGCAGGAGGGCATTACATTCTCCCACTTCCCTGGCTTATGTTATGTTCTTACTTGGCCCCTGATGTTTCAGTTTGCAGCAAGGGGAAAATATTCTCTGGCCTCTCTGCAGGGAATCAGCCAAAATGTGGATTCATTGTATATCCAAGGGGGTCTTAGCTCAGATCTGAGAAGGAGTAACAGGATAGTTTCCCCAAGGTTATGGCCACTTGGAGAAAAAGCAACAGGTGTTGGCAAGTTAATGAGGTTTTCTTTTTCATGGAATGATAAGATAGGATTGTTAAAAGAGTATTCAACTTTGAAACTAACTCTTTTGGCAAATTTTGTTTTCAGTTTATTTTTTAAATTGAAACCTTATTGATTTTTATAAGTTCCTGTTAAGCAAAGTCTCTCATCCATTTATCTGAATTAGAGCAAAACCAGAATTATTTTGAGGAAAGGCTTTCACTTGCCCAAGTCTATTCTCTCAGGAGGCAAGCCTTCTGTTGAGTTGTGTGTTGGAATTGTTATGTCTTCAGTTTTAAGAAGAGGAATTATTCTCTCCCGGCAGCTCTGCTGCTTATGCAAGTGCACAGTCTGGCCTTAACTGGCCTTGCAGAGTGGCTCCTGTGAGGTTCTTGTCAGTGTGTGTAATTTCCCTCTTTTCGCCATTCATTGTTTATTAAAGACTGAGTTCTTTGAAAGCTGTGCTGCATGGCCTTTTCCAAACAGTTGTTTGGTCTTGGTATTGGGTTTTACCCTCAGATTAAGCGAGGCCAACTAACTGCATTCCTAGACCACCTTATTTTGGCACAGCTACTTTACACACACACACACACAGACACACACACACACACTTTGCAATCATTGAATAAAGCTATATGAAACAATCTTATGACACTTCCTGTCATTTCTTTATACAAATATTTTTGAGGACACAGAGGAAACTTCCCTAAATTCTTAGTATCAGGAAGAGCTGGGGGTTGGGGAGGGGCGTGGGATGAATTGGGAGATTGGGATTGACGTGTATACACTAACATGTATAAAATAGATAACTAATAAGAACCTGCTGTATAAAAAAAATAAAATAAAATTGCAAATCAAAAAAAAAAAAAAAGGAAGAGCTGGGATTCTCCTGGTTTATATTATGGACACTGTAAACCATTAAAACAGTGCTTTGCCTTTAGTTTTAGCTGTGAGAAACCTTGGGGATATATCTATAATCCTCTTCCACCAAGCACATAAAACCTTAGGACAACCACTTTTGGTATTCTTATCTTGGCTGCTTTTTATTATTTTTCCTATGCTGATTTCCCCTTTGCCTACAAGATTTTTGAAAAGATTTCTTCTTTTTTAAAATCTTGTACTTCAGGGCTTCCCTGGTGGCGCAGTGGTTGAGAGTCCGCCTGCCGGATCCCACATGCCGCGGATCCCACATGCCGCGGAGCAGCTGGGCCCGTGAGCCATGGCTGCTGAGCCTGCGCGTCCGGAGCCTGTGCTCCGCAATGGGAGAGGCCACAACAGTGAGAGGCCCGCATACCGCAAAAAAAAAAAAAAAATCTTGTACTTCAGAAGATTTTGTAAAACTACTTCAACTTTGTTTTAGAATGAGGCAAGATATAGAGAAATTAAGTACCATATCAATGATTTATCATTTGTTGCAAACATATTACCAATTTGTTTTTAGATTTCATTTTAAATTTCCTGTCCTTTATGATATCAGGTCTATCACTTCTTTGTGATTGTCATGAAGAGGATCATTGCCATGGATTTGAGCACCCCTTGCTACCATATTTTTACCCATAGTTAACATGACTGATTCAACATAAATCTTAGAGCTAATAGCTTAGAGGCAGCAGAGGTTGCTTCTGACCCTCTTACTTCTCCAAGGGTCCCATTTAGTGGCTAAATTTCAGTTTCAAGTACCACATTTGAACAGGAGGACAGTTATATGTCAGCATAGGAGTGGTTGGCCTATAAGGCCTGGGAAATACCTGGCGTTGAACCTGGTCCTTCACAAGACAGGTGTTCAGCAAGAGTTTGGTGACTTAAATTTACTTGCGGCTTATGTGTTTGGATCTGGAAGCAGTTGCCCGCCCTTGTGGTCTGGGTCCGGGTTGGGGAGTGTAATCTGCTAGTGTCAGCAGTGGCTTGACACCAGTGACATTTTCTGCCTTGTTTTTCTTTTTCAGAATATGATCGCTTGGGCTTCCTCCTGAAGTTGGACTCTAAACTGTGAGTAGAATGAGACAGTTCCTTGACTCTGTTGTAGAGAGGTCTGAGAGCTGGGGGCCACCCTCGAAGGGCCAGCTCTCATCACACCTGTGGTTGTTGGCGGATCCCTGGGGCCTCTGTCCTCAGTCTGTCAGCTGAAGCTTAGAGCACATTACAGTCTGCAGGGGCCTGGAGAGGATGAGATTGTGGGTGCAAACATAAGGCCTTAGATTTGGCTGGCACAGGAAGCTTGTTACAGAAGGAGCTCCCGCCAGGAGTTTGAAGGACAAGGAGGAAAGGCTTCTGCTGCAGAGTGGAGGATGATGGAGTCACAGCAGGAGGCATTGCAAAGCCTTTCAAAGATGCTCTGCAGCCAGGCAGGCATAGCCTTCTGTGCTCAGGCTTCCTGCATGCTTTAACTCCTGTCTCTCTCCCACAGGTCGATCCTCCCTTTCCCTTCTACTCTTCTATATGTTTTTTATCTGTGTCTGAAATCCCCTTTCCTTGCATGTCCACTAGGAAAACTTAAAGTCCACCTCCTTCCTATACAGAATTAATTATCTCTTCCTCTGCTTCCTGTGAATTTTCTACCTCTGACACCCATTATCTCATTATACTATGATTAACTGTGTAATAGTTATTAATTTATTAAGAGCACAGGCTCGGAACCAGACCATGCTTGGTTCAAATCCCAGATTGCCATTTACTTTCTTTGTGATTTGGGGCGGACCACTTAACCACTCTGAACCCCACTTTCACCTGTAACATGAGGACATCAGTATACCTACCTCACAGGGTCATTGTAAGGATTGAAATGAAATGGTGAATTTATGGAGGCTTTCAGATAGGTATCTAATTCTTTCAGAGTCCTTCCCTGTCCTGGCCCTCTTGGTCTCCCTAGCACCTAGGCAGCGCTGCCATATGTTTGTTAGGTGCTCAGTAAACACTGAATTCATGGCTGCGTGGATGGCTGCATGGCTGCACGGATGACAGGTGGATGCCTGTGTGCTTCCCTCATTAGACTGGGCTCCCTGGAGATTGGGCTCTATCCAGTCTGCATTCGTGCCCTGCACAGGACCCCTCACGTGGTGGATGTGCAGGAAATGGTTGCAGAACTGCCTGTGGCTCCTTTCTGTGGTTAGTCATCTTTGTACACCTCTGCCCCTGTCCTGTACCAGACAGACGTGAAAGATCAGAATTGTGTCTCTTTCTTTCCTCTCTTGCATGAGGCCTTGACCACAGCTGCTTCTGATAGTGACGGCTGCACCTACATACGAGGCATCAAACCCAGGGTTATTTGGCTTTCCCACTGAATTGTCTGGCATCTAGCCCCTTTTCCTGGCAACTGGCTTCTTGGCTCTGGTGCCTCATACTATGAGTTCAGGTGTTGTAATTCTCCCAGCTTTTATACATCATGGAGGCAGCCATGAGGGAAGAACAGTCTCTTCTATATACCAAGCTAGTATAGACATGTCAGTCACATGTTAACATCTAGGGACTGGGGCTTGATTATGCCGGAAATCCACAGCCTTCTTCCTTAGAAAATTCTTAATTTAGTGCTCTGGGCAAAAAACAAATCAAGCATAAGCTATAAGCAAGTGAAATGCCTTCAGAACGGAAGAGATGTAGTAATTTACCAAGTTGAATCACATTGATGAACAAAAGACATGTTATCCAGGACACGTTAACTATACTATTTAAACTGTCTTCAGCAGTGTAAGGAGGGGAATTAAGAGGACACTCCTGCCCTGCTGACCTGACAGTGGGGTGGTACATAGTAAGCTGTTGTATAGCTTTCTTTTGTGTACCAGACCAGTTCCATAAAACATTTGAGTCAACTTGGTCTTTAGCCTGGGAAACTGGCTTGGCTTCATTATATTTAACTCACAATTTAAGGTATAAGCTAGAACTTTCCTGCCTCTTACTGTAAAAACTTTTCTAATCCAATGCTATCTTCAGAACAAAGCACAGATACATGGGAAAGGTTTTTACCTGCTTCCAGGGAGAAGTTTCCAAGTTAAGGATCCTGGGTTTTGGAGGTAATTCCTTAGCAATATTCAGATCTCCCCTTATGAAGTCTTTCTCTGTTGTGTTGTGTTCTATTTCTGATGTATAGGAAAGGACCTGAACTTGGAACAGAACTGGATTTGAATTCTGCCCCTTCTGCTTAGAATTATATGACCTTAGATAATTCATTTTGGCTCTCCGAATCACAATTTTCCTTTATGAAAAACGTAGATAGTAATACCCATTTCCTAAGGTTTTTATGAAGAATAAAAGAAAGCATTCTATGAGTAAATATACAAATGTAGGAATTTCTCTTTGTTTATCTTGATTGGATTAATTTAGCGTCTATAGTGTATGAATTCATATGTTCTGGAAAATTTTTAGCCATTATCTCTTTAAATTTTGCCTCTGCCCCATTCTCTCTCTACTCCTCCTCTGAAACTCTGATTCAGTGTAAGACTTTCTCATTCTAGCCTCCAGGTCTACTAACTTCCACATTTTCCATCTTTTGATCCTTTCTGCATTGAACTGGAACCCCAAAGGACTCAACTTAAGGATAAACTAGAACTAAACCTGTACCTCTAAATCAGGACTGCAGGAAACATTCCCAGAGCTCTGAGCAGATCAGGGCAGTAAGTCAATAAAAAAAGAAACGCTTGATACTCACAGCCAGGGCTTTCATCACTCAGGTGATCCACGGACTTCAAGCTATGAACTCCGTCCAACGTCTTCCAGACTGGCAGTGCCTCCAAGCTCCTGGCAGAAGCAATTGCAGTCCCTCTCTGGAGGAAGACATGAATTCCTCACAGATAACTTTTCAAGGAAATGAATAGCTCACAGGAAAAACTACTAAGCACATAAGGAAACAAGACTCCATTAGAGAGAACCATGAAAAACAGACAACAGAGGGGTACCCACAAAGACTTCTGAATTTGGAATTACCAGACACAGTTTATAAAGCAATTAGATAGATTGGTTCACGATGGCAGAGTAGAAGGACGTGCTCTCACTCCCTCCTGCGAGAGCACCGGAATCACAACTAACTGCTGAACAATCATCGGCAGGGAGACACTGGAACTCATCAAAAAAGATACCCCACATCCAAAGACAAAGGAGAAGCCACAATGAGACGGGAGGAGGGGCGCAATCACAATAAAGTCAAATCCCATAACTGCTGGGTGGGTGACTCACAAACTGGAGAACACTTATACCACAGAAGTCCACCCACTGGAATGAAGGTTCTGAGCTCCACGTCAGGCATCCGAACCTGGGGTCCGGCAATGGGAGGACGAATTCCTAGAGAATTAGCCTTTGAAGGCTAGTGGGATTTGATTGCAGGATTTCAACAGCACTGGGGGATATGGAGACTCCACTCTTGGAGGGCACACACAAAGGAGTGTGCACATTGGAACGCAGGGAAAGGAGCAGTGACCCCATAGGAGACTGAACCAAACCAACCTGCTGGTGTTGAAGGGTCTGCTGCAGAGGCGTGGGCTGTCTTGGCTCACTGTGGGGACAAGGACATTGGCAGCAGAAGTTCAGGGAAGTACTCTCTGGTGTGAGCCCTCCAAGAGTCCACCATTAGCCCCACCAAAGAGCCCAGGTAGGCTCCAGTGTTGTGTCGCCTCAGGCCAAACAACCAACAGGGAGGGAACCCAGCTCCACCCATCAGCAGACAAGCAGATTAAAGTTTTACTGAGCTCAGCCCAGCAGAGCAACAGCCAGCTCTACCCACGACCAGTCCCCTCCATGAGGAAACTTGCACAAGCCTCTTAGACAGGCTCATCCACCAGAGGGCAGACAGCAGAAACAAGAAGAATTACATTCCTGCAGGCTGTGGAACAAAAACCACATTCACAGAAAGATAGACAAGATGAAAAGGCAGAGGGCTATGTACCAGATGAAGGAACAAGATAAAACCTGAGAAAAACAACTAAATGAAGTGGATATAGGCAACCTTCCAGAAAAGGAATACAGAATAATGATAGTGAAGAAGATCCAGGACCTCAGAAAAAGAATGGAGGCAAAGATCGAGAATACGCAAGAAATGTTTAACAAAGACCTAGAAGAATTAAAGAACAAACAAACAAAGATGAACAATACATTAACTGAAATGAAAACTACACTAGAAGGAATCAATAGCAGAATAACTGAGGCAGAAGAACCGATAAGTGACCTGGAAGACAAAATGGTGGAATTCACTGCTGTGGAACAGAATAAAGAAAAAAGAATGAAAAGAAATGAAGACAGCCTAAGAGACCTCTGAGACAACATTAAATGCAACAACATTCACATTATAGGGGTCCCAGAAGGACAAGAGAGAGAGAAAGAACCCGAGAAAATATTTGAAGAGATTATAGTCAAAAACTTCCCTAACATGGGAAAGGAAATAGCCATCCAAGTCCAAGAAGTGCAGAGAGTCCCACAGAGGATAAACCCAAGGAGAAACATGCCGAGACACACAGTAATCAAATTGGCAAAAATTAAAGGCAAAGAAAAATTATTGAAAGCAGCAAGGGAAAAACAACAAATAACATACAAGGGAACTCCCATAATGTTAACAGCTGATTTCTCAGCAGAAACTCTGCAAGCCGGAAGGGAGTGGCATGACATATTTAAAGTGATGAAAGGGAAGAACCTACAACCAAGATTACTCTAGCCGGCAAGGATCTCATTCAGATTCGACAGAGAAATCAAAAGCTTTACAGACAAGCAAAAGCTAAGAGATTTCAGCACCACCAAGCCAGCTCTACAACAAATGCTAAAGGAACTTCTCTAAGTGGGAAACACAAGAGAAGAAAAGGACCCACAAAAACAAACACAAAACAATTAAGAAAATGGTAATAGGAACATACATATCTATAATTACCTTAATCATGAAAGGCTTAAATGCTCCAACCAAAAGACACAGGCTCGCTGAATGGATACAAAAACAAAACCCATCGATATGCTGTCTACAAGAGACTCACTTCAGACCTAGGGACACATAGAGACTGAAAGTGAGGGGATGGAAA